ATAGTATAGTATGGCGTTTTTAGCTGAAAAAAAACACATAGTATAGTATGGCGTGTTTAGCTGAAAAAAACGACATCGTATAGTATGGCGGTTTTCGCTGAAAAAAAGACATAGTATAGTATGCCGTTTTGAGCTGAAAAAAACGACATCGTATAGTATGGCGGTTTTCGCTGAAAAAAAGACATAGTATAGTATGCCGTTTTGAGCTGAAAAAAACGACATCGTATAGTATGGCGGTTTTCGCTGAAAAAAAGACATAGTATAGTATGCCGTTTTGAGCTGAAAAAAACGACATCGTATAGTATGGCGGTTTTCGCTGAAAAAAAGACATAGTATAGTATGCCGTTTTGAGCTGAAAAAAACGACATCGTATAGTATGGCGGTTTTCGCTGAAAAAAAGACATAGTATAGTATGCCGTTTTGAGCTGAAAAAAACGACATCGTATAGTATGGCGGTTTTCGCTGAAAAAAAGACATAGTATAGTATGCCGTTTTGAGCTGAAAAAAACGACATCGTATAGTATGGCGGTTTTCGCTGAAAAAAAGACATAGTATAGTATGCCGTTTTGAGCTGAAAAAAACGACATCGTATAGTATGGCGGTTTTCGCTGAAAAAAAGACATAGTATAGTATGCCGTTTTGAGCTGAAAAAAACGACATCGTATAGTATGGCGGTTTTCGCTGAAAAAAAGACATAGTATAGTATGCCGTTTTGAGCTGAAAAAAACGACATCGTATAGTATGGCGGTTTTCGCTGAAAAAAAGACATAGTATAGTATGCCGTTTTGAGCTGAAAAAAACGACATCGTATAGTATGGCGGTTTTCGCTGAAAAAAAGACATAGTATAGTATGCCGTTTTGAGCTGAAAAAAACGACATCGTATAGTATGGCGGTTTTCGCTGAAAAAAAGACATAGTATAGTATGCCGTTTTGAGCTGAAAAAAACGACATCGTATAGTATGGCGGTTTTCGCTGAAAAAAAGACATAGTATAGTATGCCGTTTTGAGCTGAAAAAAACGACATCGTATAGTATGGCGGTTTTCGCTGAAAAAAAGACATAGTATAGTATGCCGTTTTGAGCTGAAAAAAACGACATCGTATAGTATGGCGGTTTTCGCTGAAAAAAAGACATAGTATAGTATGCCGTTTTGAGCTGAAAAAAACGACATCGTATAGTATGGCGGTTTTCGCTGAAAAAAAGACATAGTATAGTATGCCGTTTTGAGCTGAAAAAAACGACATCGTATAGTATGGCGGTTTTCGCTGAAAAAAAGACATAGTATAGTATGCCGTTTTGAGCTGAAAAAAACGACATCGTATAGTATGGCGGTTTTCGCTGAAAAAAAGACATAGTATAGTATGCCGTTTTGAGCTGAAAAAAACGACATCGTATAGTATGGCGGTTTTCGCTGAAAAAAAGACATAGTATAGTATGCCGTTTTGAGCTGAAAAAAACGACATCGTATAGTATGGCGGTTTTCGCTGAAAAAAAGACATAGTATAGTATGCCGTTTTGAGCTGAAAAAAACGACATCGTATAGTATGGCGGTTTTCGCTGAAAAAAAGACATAGTATAGTATGCCGTTTTGAGCTGAAAAAAACGACATCGTATAGTATGGCGGTTTTCGCTGAAAAAAAGACATAGTATAGTATGCCGTTTTGAGCTGAAAAAAACGACATCGTATAGTATGGCGGTTTTCGCTGAAAAAAAGACATAGTATAGTATGCCGTTTTGAGCTGAAAAAAACGACATCGTATAGTATGGCGGTTTTCGCTGAAAAAAAGACATAGTATAGTATGCCGTTTTGAGCTGAAAAAAACGACATCGTATAGTATGGCGGTTTTCGCTGAAAAAAAGACATAGTATAGTATGCCGTTTTGAGCTGAAAAAAACGACATCGTATAGTATGGCGGTTTTCGCTGAAAAAAAGACATAGTATAGTATGCCGTTTTGAGCTGAAAAAAACGACATCGTATAGTATGGCGGTTTTCGCTGAAAAAAAGACATAGTATAGTATGCCGTTTTGAGCTGAAAAAAACGACATCGTATAGTATGGCGGTTTTCGCTGAAAAAAAGACATAGTATAGTATGCCGTTTTGAGCTGAAAAAAACGACATCGTATAGTATGGCGGTTTTCGCTGAAAAAAAGACATAGTATAGTATGCCGTTTTGAGCTGAAAAAAACGACATCGTATAGTATGGCGGTTTTCGCTGAAAAAAAGACATAGTATAGTATGCCGTTTTGAGCTGAAAAAAACGACATCGTATAGTATGGCGGTTTTCGCTGAAAAAAAGACATAGTATAGTATGCCGTTTTGAGCTGAAAAAAACGACATCGTATAGTAAGGCGTTTTTAGCCAAAAAAAACGACCAATGTATCGTAAGGCGTTTTTTTCCCAAAAAAATGACCGTGTATACTAAGGCATTTTTTTGCCGAAAAAAACGACCATGTATAGTAAGGCGTTTATTGCCAAAAAAAACGACCAATGTATCGTAAGGCGTTTTTGCCGAAAAAAACAACCATGTATAGTAAGGCGTTTATTGCCAAAAAAAACGACCATGTACAGTAAGGCGTTTTTTGCCCAAAAAAAACGACCATGTATATTAAGGCGTTTTTAGCCCAAAAAAACGACCATGTATATAGTAAGGCATTTTTAGCCCAAAAAAACGACCATGTATAGTTTGGCGTTTTTAGCCCAAAAAAACGACCATGTATATTAAGGCGTTTTTAGCCCAAAAAAACGACCATGTATCGTAAGGCGAAAAATGCCTTCCTGTACATGTTCTTTTTTTCGGTTAAAAATCCCTTTCTGTACATGGTTGGTTTATTTTGTGTTCAACGCCTTTCTGTACATCGTTTAGGAAAAAAAACCCTTCCGATACATGGTCGTTCAAAAAAGCCTTCCTATACATGGTTGTTTTGGAAAATGTTTTATTATCGACTTACTATACATGGTCGTTTTGGGAAAAATGCCTTACTATATATGGCCGTTTAGGAAAAACAACGCCTTCCTATATATGGCTGTTTTGGGGGGAAAAATGCCTTATTATACATGGTCGTTCAAAAACGCCTTACTATACATTGTCGTTTAGGGAAAAAAAACACATTTTCATGGTCGTTTCGGGGGGAAAATCGAAGCCTTACTTTTCATGGTCGTTTCGGAAAAAAAAAACATCCCTGCGTGCTTTTTTGTCCCCCACATTCCAAAAACATCCGTGGCAAGTTAATGGAACGCTCAAATTTGTCCCTCAGTGTGATTCTGAGCGTGAATGATTGTTCTTCCATGTTTGCCCTGCAATCGGCTGGCAACCAGTTCAGGGTGTACACCACCTACTGCCCATAGACAGTTTTTGTATTTGTCATAACTATTTCTTATATTTTCTTTTTTTTTTGAACTCTTTTTATTATTCCACTTGTTTTCTTGTTTTTATTACAGTATTGTATGAATAAAATTATATTATGTTTCATTTTCATCATAGTAGTTCTATATTTTTATCATTTATTTGTACTTTTTAGTATTTGTTTGCAGCTGTCTTCGGGCAGTAGGCGGAGTACACCCTGAACTGGTTGCCAGCCAATCGCAGGGCAAATTAGCAAATGGGCTAGCTGTCCATTTAGCTCCTGGTATGCTGACAAACATTTCAGACATTACAAATTAACATTTGGCTCGGCTAGCTAACGCTCACCTTATGCGACTCTTTTAGCCGCGGGGGCAGGTTGTCACGTATCCTCCTCATGGCTTGCAAGGGGGGCTCGTTAAAGTACGGGGGCTCACCATCTACCATTTCAATCACCATGATGCCCAGTGACCACACGTCTACCTGCACACGTGTGCACACACACACACACGTCATGATAAATAAAATCATGAAATAAAATCTATGATGTAGCAGAGTCAGTATGTGTATTACCTCTGTCCCATAAGGCAGTCTGGAGATGACTTCCGGCGCCATCCAATATGGTGTCCCTACCAGTGACTTCCTCTTGGGCACCTCTTTGGACACTTGGGCACAAAAGCCAAAGTCGGACAGCTTGATCTGCGCGCACACGTCAAAAAGTTACCTGCTTGATTGCTTTGTGGTGAGGGAGGTGCAAATCTGACATATTAGCCACTAATTGCTTTTAGTAATTTGTTGATCTACCACCTATTTTATTGGCATTGTGGATGCTACAATACTTGCTTCAGCTTAAAATGTAAATAAAATACTATTTTTCATCTTTGAATTTGATCACAAACCTCTAGTTCTTGTTTAGCATTCAGCCTTTTTAGCAATATTACATTTCGAGCCTTCTGATTGGCTGATGAGCTTTTGACCTGTTTGATCAGAGTACACGTCTCTGTCAAGGTGGTGACGCATGCATGCGTTTACCCGTCCATCGCTGGTGAGCAGGATGGAATCACTTTTGATGTCTCGGTGGATGACACCTTGCGTGTGAAGGTAGCACAGGGCACGCAGCACCGACAAGCACACCGTGGCAATCTGCTCCTCGTTCATCCTGTCACATGTGCACACACACATATCATATGCAGTCGTACTGTGTACTATTTTAAATGGTTGTGAAATATACGTAAAAGTTGGAGGTTGTATTTTCAGCGGTGATACGCAGAGCAGGAGGTCCCAGATGGAGGTTCAGGTGCAGTGCGGTGCCTCACACACACGCACACACACACACGATACATTTACAGCTTCAATGAACACACGCACACATGGCCAGCTGGCAACTATGTGTGCCTTCTGGTGTGGCACAACCCTTAAACTGCTATTGGGTTTGTCTCTCCGGGTGTATGTGTGCGTGTGCGTGTGTGTGTGTGAGATACTGTGATAGCACTTGTGTCAAATACACACACGCACACACACTGACACAAATACACTCCCTCTGAAGTCAAAGCGTCACACGTTTGCAACAAGACAAATGGGTCTTCGGTTAATGAACGGTCAGTGGATGCGTGTATACACACGCACACACACACTGTATGAATGCTAAAATAAGCCAACCCTAGGTACATTTTTTTGTGCTAAAATAATTGAACTCAAGTGTTTGTGCCTACCTAAGATGACTGTCAAGGTGTTCGAGCAGGATGCAATGGTTCTGGGCTGACGGAGGACTCGAATGACCTCATTCGTAAATTCAAAGAAAGTACACATGCTGGCTCTCTCGTGACAGTGGTACTTAAGTGTGGAGAGTTAGGACGTCAGATTGAATTTCTGAATGCACCTTTGTGCTTGTCGAAGCTCACTTTGCACTGGTGCAAAGCTAACTGTCTCTGAGCTAAAATAACTTAAAAGTACACTTAGCTTCTTGTACTAAACAAAGCTCACTCTAATTTAGCGCAAAGCTCACTCTTTGTGCTATGCTCATTTTGTTGTTGTTGTTGGTGTTAAGATAACTCTGCTTTGATGCTCTCCTAAGCTAACTGGGTTTTGGTACTGATCTTACTCAGTCTAGAAGCCTTTTAGTGAGTTTGCTGTAAAGGCTTTAAGCAACACTTGTGTGGTCGTCGTGACGACTTTAATTTCCATTGTATTATTTGAGGCTGAAAAGATCCTACAAGCATTCGTTTAATGATGTACAGCTAATTGAAATTTGAGTTGAAGAGGGTTTTTTTTTCATTTCCTTTATGAGGGGACATAACATCAGCCGACTGTTCCTCAGCCAATCTTGTTATTAGCATGCGCCAACAATCCACAGAAGTGATGGGAATTAAAGTACCAAAACAATCAGCGTGGAAACTCATTAACACAGGGAGACAATTAAGGGAAAGTTGGTGAGTTTAAAAAAATAAATAAATAAATAAAAATAGTCTCAAATGTTGTGAAAGACTTCATTACAAACCATCTGTGTCATGTTCCTCCACTGCTCACGTGTCCTCTGTTTTAACTCCCTCCACCCCCACAATTACATATTACATCTGTGGAGCCATTTGGAGTTACACTCCAGGCATATTTTACCATCAGCTAAACACACTAATATTTTTATAACTGTTCCTGTATATACAACATGTGATCACTTGTGAATAGAAAGGTGGTAAAAATCAATACAACCAAACCAGGGTTCCCACGCCCACGGGTCCTTAAAGTTAATAAAAATCCGTAAAAAAAGAAGCTGTAAAATTATGTTCTTCGTTGTCCTTAATTTTCAGGGAAAGCTTCTAAAATCAATAAAAATCCTTAAAAATTTACCTGTGGTGTTCATTTCATTTGTGTATGTCATTTTCCCTACCCTTCCAATTCATTGTTTTGTCATGCCTCCCTGGTTCCCGCTCTGCTTTTCCCGCCGTCTCCGATCAGTTCCGATGATCATCACGTGATCATTTTGAGTCTTTTCGGGCCAATTTGACATACGGTATGTCAAATAAAGGGCTTGCTGATTGCCCATAAAAATAAAGATGCAAGTGGAAGAGTGGGAACAGTGAATTGGGGTGAGGGCGTTTTGGGGTTTTGGGGGTTAGGGCGATTGCAGGGTTTCCATTCTTCCACTTGATTTTTATTGAAGGACCTTTTAAGGACTTTTGAGGGCTAATTTAGCCATTTTTAAGGACTTGTTCTCCGTTCAGCAGGGGATTCACGGTGGATTGAATGAACAGAAAGCCATGTATCACTGAGCTGGTGTTCAAATCATTGCTGCCAAATGAAGGGCATTTTATTATAATGACATTCACAAATGAAATGAACACCACAGGTTAATTTTTAAGAAATTTTCTTGATTTTAGAAGCTTTCCCCAAAAATTAAAGACAATTCATAATTTTACAACTTTTTTATGAATTTTTATGAACTTTAAGGACCCGTGGGAACCCTATAAACGACACTGGACTGGTTGTCAGAGGGGGTATAAATATTACACTGGCATCACTTAGCATCACACATGCTCAAAGTCACCTAAGTGGTGTTTCAAAGCACATTTGTTGTCTTTGATATGCATATGTGTGTGTTTAGTCCTTTACCTGGTGTGTGTGACGATGTCAGTGAGCGCCCCTCCCTCCAGGAACTCCATGACCACCCACAGCTCGTCTCCCACCAGGTAGCTATTGTACATGTCCACTACGTTCTCATGGTGGTAGTCCCTCATGATAACTACCTACACACACACACACACACACACACACACACACACACACACACACACACACGTCATTTAATATTAGCTCTTCATTGAAATGACTCTCTCTGAACAGATTCTGGAGTTTTAACCATAACAGGATTACATGTGTGGATTATGAGGATTACAATGAAACTAATTAGCTCCAGAATCAACACCCTCTGATGTACGCATGCCGAGAACACACGCGCACACACGCGGCAGTATTGGCACCTCGTTGAAGAGCAGCTCCCTCCTCTGCTGCTTCCTCAGGTCCATCTTCTTGACAGCCACCTGTTTTCCACTGTTTTTCTCGTTGGCGATGCACACGATGCCTGTGGAGCCCTCACCGATCTTGATGAAGCTGTCCAGGTATTCACGGGGGTCACCTGATGAGAGCGTCCAGACAACAAATTTTATTCAGAAGAGAAATAAATTATCCTCTGTGTGTCAATGTGTAAAAAAAACTACAACAGAAAATGGCAAACAAATGGGACAATTTTCACAGATTTTAAAAGAGATATATGAAAAAACAACCGGAATTAAATCCAATATAAAATCCCACAAAACAATTCCGACACTGTACGGTACTGGTACCGATAGCTGATATTGTGCACAATGTTAGAGCGGCTTGCCATCATAAACGTCTATCATTTTTGATGATCAGTTAGGCCTACGTAACGTTATTTGTTGGTCATTATCATGACACTTGTAGAACAGAGTAATTTTGAGGAGCTACTTTGGTGAAAAAAAGTTTGAGAACGACCAACTACTTAGTTACCTGGATTGACTACTAGCTGCAGTGCAGCTCGGAACTGCTCGTGTGACACTCTGGAGGGCTGAGTGTCAGAGCTGGAGCCCCACGAGGGAGGAGGGTACGCCCCTGGGGGGATGTAGGGTGACGATGGCTGGGAGTACGTCCCGCGCAGTGGAAAAACATTGAGAAATAGTAAGATGGGAATCCAATCACGTGTTTGCTTGTGGTGCTTAGCGTCTCTTGCTAGCGTACCTGTGGGGTGTATGGCGGGCTGGGCTGGGAGGGCGGATGGTGGTAGGGCGACGGCTTGTAATGGTGAAAGACGGGCGGGTAGGGCAGGTGTATGGGCGGGTAGCCGGGGGGCTTGGCGTGGTTCTGAGGTAGCTTGAGGGGCCCGCGGGGGTAGGTGTCTCCGGCCGTTGCGTGGGGGCTGCCGTCCCGCGACGGACGCTCGTAGTCACCCTGCGGGAGGTCATGCGGCAGCTTCAGTCATGCACGCAGGCAATTACAAAAGACACCGAATCACACTCGCTGAAGCATGACTGCGTGAAGTAAAGCACTAAATACAGTTTGTAAAGCTCAGTCATGGAGTTCATAATGAGATGTACAGGCCATTTTGATTGGGTTGGACACTTTTGCTCAATCAACAAGCATGGGGCCCAACTTGGGATTCAAGGGAAACAACATTGGTGTCAATAAGGAACTAAATTCTCTGGTGGCATGTGGGCGCACGCACACGGAGAGGACTGGAAGAGGAGGAGGATCATTCCTGACGTGTTAAGATGGTGTATAATTACATGGTGCAAACTTTTATAATCAATCACTCCGTGCAGCCTGAGAAAGAGGTGCTCCATGCCACCTCCCCCAGCCCCAATCGAGCCTCCTTCCCACTGTATCGTTGTCTGGCTGGCTGTCAGCCAAAGGGGGTCTCCTGATCCATGTTGGTTAAACGCGCATTAATCTGAGTTTGGCAGGGTAATCAACAACCTAACTCAAGTGTGAAATTGAATTCGGTGGCGGAACACGGTCAAGCCCGCTTTTATGCTAAGGCTGCAAAAGAGAGGGGGGGGGGGGCCCCAGCCCCAATCGAGCCTCCTTCCCACTGTATCGTTGTCTGGCTGGCTGTCAGCCAAAGGGGGTCTCCTGATCCATGTTGGTTAAACGCGCATTAATCTGAGTTTGGCAGGGTAATCAACAACCTAACTCAAGTGTGAAATTGAATTCGGTGGCGGAACACGGTCAAGCCCGCTTTTATGCTAAGGCTGCAAAAGAGAGGGGGGGGGGGGAGTGCCGCAACATCAATTTGTCACTGAGAGCTGCTGCAGAGAAAAGGGGGAGAAAAGAGAGAGGGAGTGTGTGTTTATTATTGTGCGAGAGAGGGGATAAATAAAGCTGGTGTGGGACTGTGTTGGTTACATCGAAGAAGAAAAAAAGGCAGAGGGGGTTTGTTGCAAGAAGAATGGCCCTGATTTCTGAGCTTAGCGTTTAGTGCAGGGATGAGCAAGGGACAGTCAGGACGTATGGAAATGCCCGCCAGGCATTTATTGCGCATGTTGAAGACTCTGGTAATATTTGCTGCATTCTTTTTTGGGGGGTTCTCCCAAAACTGCGTCGTTATAATGTATATTTTCCTTTATTTTTATTATTTTCTCACGTTTTAAAATTTTTGGTAAAATGAAATAATATTAGATTTTCTTACATTTTTCATTTACAGTATATCCATCCCTTATGCAAAGTGCTCATCCTCACGAGGGTCGCGGGGGTGCTGGAGTCAGGCAGTAGGCGGCGTACACCCTGAACCCCAGTTTTCCCAACCCGGCTTTAGCAAACGAATGAGAAAAAAAATGACCTCCTCCATTACTACTGCAGTCCAATCCTGCATTGCTTGCATTCTGCATTTCTTTTTCTATTTGGTGAAGCGTGGAGGTTAAACGCTTTTTCATCAAGGCGCCCTGGGATCCACATCAGCAAACCTACTGGACTCGTCGCTGTGTGGAGGGAGGAGGAGGCACGGTAGTAGTGCCGCAGATGCCATCACGCTGCGCGGCTGCCTTAATGGAGCCCGGAGAGTGAGCATAAGGACCGAACCCCCCTCCTCCTCCTATTGCAGGTTGACTGCATCGCTACTTTCTGCCCGCACGGCAAGCGCTCCAAAAGTGACAGTCCAAGCTCTATGCTGCGGTTCAGTTTGTAACAGGAAATCCGCATCTGAAGTGGGATGGCAGATAAGTCAAGTCACAGCATCTTCTAGATAGTATACGGACACAATGGAATGCGACAATGGATTCAACAACCGTAATCGAGTCAACAAAGTAAATGACAACGGATAACTTTTTGTCTGGGTATTCATATTGATTTAAGAAAACTTGTATTCGGTGTGTAGATAAATCTTCCACCTTTTCTGGTGTCCAAATTTATTGTCTGGAAGAGGAGGAGGATCATTCCTGACGTGTTAAGATGGTGTATAATTACATGGTGCAAACTTTTATAATCAATCACTCCGTGCAGCCTGAGAAAGAGGTGCTCCATGCCACCTCCCCCAGCCCCAATCGAGCCTCCTTCCCACTGTATCGTTGTCTGGCTGGCTGTCAGCCAAAGGGGGTCTCCTGATCCATGTTGGTTAAACGCGCATTAATCTGAGTTTGGCAGGGTAATCAACAACCTAACTCAAGTGTGAAATTGAATTCGGTGGCGGAACACGGTCAAGCCCGCTTTTATGCTAAGGCTGCAAAAGAGAGGGGGGGGGGGGGGGG